GTGTGTTACAAAAATTGTGCTACTACAGATGTGATAGCTAACTTTATTGGCCTACTTAGTGGGTGATATTGGATGAGATTTATATATATATAATCATAATATATATATATCAGTGAAATTTTTAAACATGTTTATTTATTTGAAAGTAAGAGTGAGAGAGAGAGAGAGAGAGAGAGAGAGAGAGAGAGAGAGATCTTCCATCCACTGGTTCACTCCCCATATGGCTGCAATGGCCAGGGCTGGGTCAGGCCAATATCAGAAGTCAGGAGCTTCATCCACATTTTCCATGTCGGTGGCAGGGGCCCAAACACTTGGGCCATATTCCACTGATTTTCTCAGGCCACTAGCAGGGAATCAGATCAGAAGTGGAGTGGCCGGGATATGAACTGGTGCCAGTATGGGATACTGGCATCACAGGTAGTGGCTTTATATGCTATGTCACAATGCTGGCCCCTACCAGTGAATTTTGAGCAAGAAGATTGCCTTTCATTATGTGGTGGGTCTCTTTCCGTTACCTGAAGTCCCAATAGAACAAAATGTCTGGCCTCCCCTAAGGAAGAGAGAATTCTCCAGTAGATGTCTTTGGACTTAATCTGCACCACTGGGGCCTCCAGCCTGCCAACCCACACAGCAATTTGTACTTGCCAGTCTCTAAAACTACATAAGCCAATTTGTTATAATAAAAGTCTCTGTGCATACGTCTATATCCTATTGGTTCTCTTTCACTGGAGGACCCTGATTAATACAACTGATATATCAATTTATACTCCTACCAACAGTTCATAAGTGTTCCAATATACAGAATTCCTCTTGTCGACCCCATTCTTGAACTGTTTCCCTCCTATAAGGCTGCAACTAGTTTAGTCTTTCAGGTAGTGAAAAAAAAAAAAAACTGGTTTATTGTGTATCTCACAGAGGAACCCTAAGGTCTACATTACAGAATGAAGTTCAAACTCCATGAAGCATATGAAGATCTGGGCTGCCCAACTTTCCAAGTGTATCACTAACAATTTGACTGCTCCAATGGGCTGAAATTTCCTTCTTTAAATACACATTCTGCTGTAGGAAGACCATATCTGAGACTCCCACGTATCATTCACTGAACCCCTTTGCTGGTGTGGGCAGGAAGAAGGTCCCACCCTCACGCTCTTTCGTTCCCCCTTGACGCAGACTCTCAGGCCACTTCTGGCACTGAAAGGCCTGAGAACCCTGTGGAGAACCACATCCTTCTCAAACCCAGCGCCCCAGTCAACAGGGCCATCGCCCGCCCTGCATGAACTTCACAGTCCTGCTGCATCCTCCCTGCCATCTTCCCCTCTGAGATTCCCTTTTGTCTTCATTCTCTCTCCTCCCCTTAACCCAGCTGCTCTACCTTTAAAAATCCTTCCTAATTCCTCACGGTCAAACATGACTTTCCATCACCCTGAGCCGCTCTGATTCATTTTGATGGGGACACTTCTGGCACTTCCGAGACATTGACTGGGTTCACCCTGGTGCTGCGATGTGAATCAGCAGACTGGCAACCTTGGATAAGGTAGCTAATGACTCCGAATCCCACTGCCTTCAGATACCTGATGGGAAACGTTACCTCTCTTGGTCCTGAGTAAGTATTAAAGTATCAATTACTCCACATAGTTGTCACCCAATGAATTTAGGTAGCAGAGTACTTTGAGTAGGTTGTAAGTGTAACTACATTTCCTTTAACTGACTAGAAGGGCCAGAGACACGTGGATGACAGTGACGTTTTCCGTGACCCCACTTCCTGCCCAAATCCCACCATGAAAGGACAGATTTTGAAATGTTACCTCTATGTCACCTCAGCATATTTTTCTCTGATAGATAAAATAAGGAGAGCCATTATTACCATTAAATCCCCTACACCCATTGCTAATTAAGAAACATCTGTTGTGAAGCTAACATAATTTTAGAATCATTTTTGTATTAATAGCACCATTTGTGCAGAATAAGATGTCAAATCTGCTCTTCAGCTTCAGGCTGAAATCTAAAGGGGTAGGAGGAATGACAAGTGTGAGCGTCGGTGTCTTCCCCTTGGAGGGCCCTAGTGGGCTCCCGTGTTCCCCAGGATGTCATTTTACATCTAGATACCACATTCCCTGATGTAAAACATACGAAGCTGAGGCCATGGAAAAATACTGGGCTCACTACCCTTCATTGCCCTCATCTGTAAAATCAAAGGAATCTCTATATCCAAGTGTATACAGAGGGTTAAATGCGAAAATCTATGAAATGAATATGTAAGATTCTTTACACATAATAAGCCATCAGTAAACAGCAGAAAAAAACAGGAGATGTGGCTCAATTCATTTAGCCTTTTGAAATTCTTACAAACAATTATAGAAACTAGAATGTCTGGATTTCTGGTCCTTTTTTGTTAAACAGATCACCAATTCTCTATTTACATAATATAAAAATGAAATAAATATAGATATTGGCATGTTATTAATACAGCACATAAAATTAAGTACTTTTTTAAAAAAAGATTTATTTATTTGAAAGAGTTACACAGAGGAGGAGAGGCAGAGAGAGAGAGAGGTCTTCCATCTGCTGGTTCACTCTCCAACTGGCCGCAACGGCCAGAGCTGCGCCAGTCTGAAGCCAGGAGCCAGGAGCTTCTTCAGGGTCTCTCATGCGGGTACAGGGACCTAAGGACTTGAGCCATCCTCTACTGCTTTCCCAGGCCACAGCAGAGAGATAGATTGGAAGTGGAGCAGCCAGGTCTTGAACCGGCGCCCATAGGGGATGCCGGCACTTTAGATCAGGGCGTTAACCCGCTGCGCCAGAGCGCTGGCCCCAATTAAGTACCTTAATACATGGCTTAAACTCACTATCGTTCTTGTTTTAAAATGATGAAGCCCTCCAAATATCAAAGTAAGGTAGACCACCCACATGGTCCATTACATCAATCTGTTCTTTCAAAGTATAATTGATCAGAAATAACAGCAATGATATGACTAGATGCATCATGAAGAATTAAACCCGAGGAAGAATGGGTTCTCCTCTGTTGACAGGAAACTGACTGAAACACCCCACTGGTTTTGAAAAGCTCTCGTGAAGTAGGATGTCCTCTTTCCTAAATAGAAAAAGCAAAAACCCCAGGTGATGAAAAAAATAATAGAATATTGCCCATGGTGAAACAAGATTTAAAAGTCCTCCTTGGTGTGGCCACCATCACTTCCTTCTCTACAGTTTGGTTCCATCCTCCATCCTGAATTTCTGGAAAAGGTCAAGCTCCCCATTTTCAATTGAAATCAATATCCGATCTGCAACCCAAACTGCAAGTGCTTACCATGCGAGGCAGAGAGGGGAAGCCCATCTCATTCTAGCCTTGAAGGCTCAGGCCTTGTGTCAAATAGTTCACTGTATTTTAAGACCCTTACAAATTCTCTCCTTCATTTGCATGACTGATCAGAAGTAGACCATAGGGACCTGCATTGTGGTACAGTGGGTTAAGGTGCTGCCTTCAACACTGGTATCCTATGTAAGTGTCAGTTTTAGCCCAGCAGCTCTGCTTCTGATCCAGCTTCCTGTAATGCATTTGGGAAAGCAGTGGAAGATGGCTCATTCCTTGGGCTCCTGCCATGTACATGGGAGACTCAGATGGAGTTCCAGGCTCCTGTCTGGGCTGGTCCAGCCCTGGCCTTTGAAACCATTTGGGGAATGAACCAGTAGATGGAAGATCTCTTGCTATTCTTGTCTTTCCTTCTGTCATTCTGCCTTTCAAACAAATAAAATTAATCTTCAAAAAAGAATAAGTGGACTTCACACTGAAAACTGTCAAAGATCAGTTTAATGGAAGATTGCACATAACAACATGTAAGGAATTGAGTTGCAAAATGCAGACTTTAATAAATATGTGTTTAGAGAGAGCTTGCCAGTTGATGCTCTGTGTCAGCCATACCCACAAAATCAACCTTGCATTAAGTTATACCCACTGGAAATGGGAGAACTAGTCGTGGATAAACCTTTCTTATTTCCTGAGCATTTGATATTCCTAGCACTAACTGTTGTTAGAGAATGCAGACTCCGTAAAAGTAAAGTACGACATCTGACAACATAGTGTTCCACTCTACACATCCATGGGGTATAATTTGAGAGATAACAAAACAGAGCTAGTTCCAAAATATTCCCTGTTTTGGGCTGATCCCTAAAAATTTTATCATTAGCCATGTTGTCTCAAAAGAACAGAATATGATGATGATGATGATGACGACGACGACGACGACAATGATGATACCTAGTATTCTCTGATTACCATGGGCCAAATTCGTTAAGTATATTATCCGTAAGTCATATAAGAATGAGAATAGTATTATTAACTCAATTTACTCTCCAGAAATCTGACGTTGAGGGAGATGCAGCAACCACCACAAGTTTATATGAAAAGTAATGCTATAAAATCCAAGTTTTTCCAATATATCACACGCTCCATGTTGCCACCCCTGGAAGGATCAAACCACAATCCAGTAGACAGAGCAGAAACACTCCAAGAGACCATTAGATTCTTTCCGCCAAGACAACTGACAATTTCTGAAGAAATATGCTCTCTAGCTAAACTTGGATGAGGCAAAGGGTAGAGCCAGTGTTTGAACGCGTCCCAGGAATCACTAACTCTGGATTAAATGCTGTAGAAAGGACCTGGATGTTCAAGTGGAAGGGAATGGAACACACTGTTGAGATAAAGCACCGGAAGGGAGGTGTTCGGTTCCTGAATCTACATCAGTGTAACCTAGACTCAGATTATCATGAAGACAACATAAAATCTGGGCTTCAAATTTGTGAGATGCTTCTGCTCGAAAAGAAAGCGCATTAAAAAATTAAAATTTATTCATAATATTACTTCTTTAAAACAATAATATAGAATCTAAAAGTGGAATTGGAAAAAGCCACAAAAATGGGATGAAACATTTTGTAGCTTTACTCAGGCTTTCTATAATCAAATGCCGTAGATGAGTAAAGAGGAAAATAAAACTGGTCCTTACCTGACTGCACCACTTGTAACATCTTTTCCCAAGATCCAAGTGGAAAAGTGTGAAGAAAGCAGGAATAGGAGCCAACATCAGCTTCAGAGGCATTATGAAAGGAAAGGGTCATATCATTGGATGCCATTGTTGAATTCAAAAAGGAAACCCTATCAGCATAGGGCTCTCTTATGACCACACCATAAGTAGGGTTGAAAATGGCTATGGACTCTTTCTGGAGTCCATTGATCTTGAACCACTCGATCTGGGTCAAGTTGTCCGTTGATGGATACACACATTCTAGAGTCATATTCTTGGCAAATTTAACAGTCGTGTCCCAAAATATCTCTTCACATAGAGCTGAAAGAGATGTCATCACATAAATAAAGTTATCTTCAGTGACAAAGACATTGAATAAATATCTTGACCAAGCAGGATGTTAAATTCATGGAAAAAGCTAATGATTTCTAATTTTTCCCAAAAAAATTTTTTCACTGCCGATAATTGGCATTTGTAACTTTTAGTTTTCCTTAACAAGTGGGAAACTATTTAAGTCAACTAAAGTGCATTATAAATTCTGACCATGGCACACTGTAAGACCAGAAAAAGGAGCAAGCTTTTTAAATGAATACATAAAGATTATCTTTACCTTTGTATACAAAAAGAGTAGCCAAGAGGAAAGCAGGATAATCCATCTCTGGAAACTATTTGGGAGGTGGTCTATAAAAAAAATTTGTATAATGCTACATGCAGAGGCCCAGCAAGACGCACCACTTCCTTCCTCTCAGATATTATCAGTTGTGTCTTCTTTTTCTGAAGTATGAACACAGGAAAAAGGTCTTAGCTTCAAAGACAGGTTTGCTCTTGTACAAGAGTGGGCAGATTTGAGTTACTTCTCTCTCGGGGAAACAGTTTATTTCAAGGCCTCATTTTCTACAACGATTCATTCATGCAACAGACATTTATTCAGCATGTTCTTTTCCCAACTCTGCTCAGGCAATGAGGACACAATAATACATTAAAAACAAACAAAAAACTTGCCATCATTCAACTTGCATTCTAGTGAGAGGAGACAAAAACTAAAATAAAGGTGAAAAAACATATATGGTAAGTAAAAGATGATGAGTACACGAGGAAAAATAAAGCAGGGGAGTGGAGATAGGGAAAGTGGGGGATACGGAAGGTGAGGGGGTAATGTTTCCTTTTAGGTAGAAAGTCCTAACTGGGAAGGTAAGGTTGGGCAGATACCAAGGGCACAGGATAGGGGCCTTGTCGCTCTGGGAGTGGGATCTCCACCCAGCACATGGCCTTCCTTCCATGTCTGCGCTTTGCTGACCTCAGGCATTTGTTTGGGGGTGATGAACAGACCACTGAAGGTTCCATGGTAGCCTGGGGCACGCAAAAATTCACCATCAAAATGAAGGTGTTTTTCCAACATTTATTTAGAAATAATTTCAGAGTCACAGGAGGTTTCAAAGACAATAAAGAGTTCCTAGGTACCCTTCATCCAATTTCCCCAACTAGTCACATCTGACATAATCACAGTACAATATCAACAAATGATTTAAAATTTTTAATGTTATTTTATTTGTCCCTATTTATTGGATAAAGTGAGACATACAAACAGAAAAATAGACTTCTCCCATCTACTGGTTCACTCACCAAATGTGGCTGGGCCAGGCTGAATCCAAGAGCCTTCAAACTGGGTCTCCCATGGAGTGGCAGGGACACAACTAACTGAGGTGACACAACTGCCACCTCATAGGGTGTGAATTAGCAGGGAGCTGGAAATGTGAGTGGAGCTGGGACTCAGACCCAGGCACTCATATGGGATGCAGTTGTCCCAACCAGCATCTTAACCGTTATACCAAATGTCCAACCCTCAACACATGATTGATTTCTTCCTTCTCTTCTAAAATAACAGTTCAAATTCTTAAGCCCTTGTTAGGAACATATTAACATAGCAGTATAAAAAGATTATTTCCATGAAAAGAGGAATTGTAGGGGCCAGCGCGGTGGTGTAGCAGATAAAGCCACTGTCAAAAGTGTAGCATCCCATTTGAGCGCCGGTTCTAGTCCCAGCTGCTCCACATCCAATCCAGCTCTCTGCTATGGCCTGGGAAAGCAGTAGAAGATGGCCCAAGTCCTTGTTCCCCTGCACCTGTGTGGGAGACCTGGAAGAAGCTCCAGGCTCCTGGTTTCAGATCAGTGTAGCTCTGGCCGTTGTGGCCATCTGGGAAGTTAACCAGCGGCTGGAAGACCTCTCTCTCTCTCGACCTCTCTCTCTGCCTCTGCCTCTGCCTCTGCCTCTCTGTAACTCTGCCCGTCAAATAAATAAATAAATCTTTTAAAAAAGAGGAATTGTATAAATGCACTTGGTCCCAATGAAAGTGTCAAAATAAAGGTAAATACAAATTGAAGAGAGGAAGAGTAGGACCCACAGAGTTGCCTGATGCCAACTCTGAATTTCATATGTGATTCAATCTAAATATTTATCAGTAGGTGTCAACTACTCAACAATAGTATGCACTGTGGGAACTTTCTCAGGAAATCTGAAATTAACAATGAATTAATAGAACAAAGTAATGCATACATATAGCAATATACTGCCACTTTATGTTTCCACAACATTCTATGTTTTTAAGTTTTTACATCTATGATATGACTTGAGCCCCTAATTGTTGTATATATAGTCGGTAGAGGGATCTGTTACCTGTTTTGTAAGTAATTCAAGGAAACAATAGCCCTACATTTTACTGAGTTATGCTAGGTCCATTTCTTAGTCATTTGGGAACACAAGCAGGGGGAGTATCATCTCTTCTCACAAGTCATGCATAATAGAGTGGGCCAGATAAATAAAGTGATGTATTATAATAAAACCTGATGATTTCTACACAGATTATTTGAGTTTTATGGTACCCAGAGATGGAACAGTGCATTTTAATATATTTGAAAGAGGTTTCATAGGAAAAGTGGGAAAATTTTGAAAAGGAGATAGAAGTGTGACCATATAGTCTTTTCAGAAAGTAGTGGGATCATAGTATAGGAAATGGGGAAGTAACCAAAAGCAGTATGACTATGGATTGAAAGGTGCCTTGAATGATACACATGAAAGAAGTGAAACTTTGCAATCAGAAATCATCGTGTCTCGCTTATGTTTGTAAGTTCAACACTGAACATAATTCTATTTACGCAGCTTCCGAAATAAAAACCTACCTATGAAAAAATTTAACCAAACGGTGGAAGAGTTTATAGTGAGTAACAAAACATTGTTAAAAGAAATTCAAGAAGACATACTTAGGAAATATGTCTGAAAGACATCGCATGCTTATGAACTGGAAAATTTAATATTGCTAAGGTCAAATTTTCAGTGGTCTTTTTTTACAGAAATGGAAAACTGATCCTCAAATTCATATAGAATTTTAAAAGGCCTGAATATCCAAATAAATCTTGAAAAAAATTTAGATGATTCACAGTTCTCAATTACAAAATTTAGTATGAACTCACAGTAATAAAAACAGTGTGGTATTGGCATAACAACTGGCAAAAAGACCAATGTAATAGAGGTGAAAATAAAAAAATAAACCTACATTTCTATGGAATGGGTGCCAAGACCATTCATTTGGAAAAGAAGTCATCCTAACAAACAGTACTGAAACAACTGAGTAATCTCAATCAAAAGAACAAAGTTGGACACCTACCTCCCATCACATACAATGCTTAACTCAAAATGGACTGAGTTAAAACTATAAAATTCTTAGAAGAAAACAAGGCAAGTCTTCATGACCTTGGAGTTAGCAATGAATTATTAGCTATGGCATCAAATAGTATATCGTAATCAAAACCAAAAACTTTTGTACATCAAATAATGCTTCTTAAGAAAGTCAAACAACAGCCTACAGAATGGAGAATATACTGCAAATCATACATCTGATTAGGGTGACATATCTAGAATATATAAAGAATTTTTACATTTCAGAACCAAAAGAAATAACCCAATCTAAAATAAGAATGACAAAGTAAAAATGGATATGTATTTCTCTAAAGAAAGTATACAAACTGCTAACAAACATATGAATAGATGGTGAACATCACTAGTCCTCAAGGAAATGCAAAGACAAATCATAACAGAAATCACAATAAAGTCACCAGGTTGGTTATAATCAATAATAAGGAAAATAACTAGAGAGGAGGATACAGAGGAACTGAAACTCTCATACATTGCTGGTTGGAATATAAAATAGTAAAAAAATAAAATGCTGCAAAAACTAACTCGTTGATTCCTCAAAGAACTACTCAAGAATACCACATGACCCAGCAATCCCACTCCTTAGCATATATTCAATTTAAAATGTACTCACAAGAATACTGTACACCAACGTTCACAGTAGCATTATTAATAACAGCCAGAAACTGCAGGTATTTACAAACAGATGAATGAACTAAATTCCTGTTTATCCACATGGGGGAATACTATTCAGTCATTAAAAGGAGTGAAGTATTAACTCACGCTAAAAACATGAATGCTTAGGTGATATGAAAGCAGACAGACACAAAAGGTTACGCATTTCAGGATTCCATTTTACATGAAATACCCAGACTAGGCAAATCCACAGAGACTGGGTAAAGTGTGCTACAGGTGCAGGGGGGAAGGCAAGAGAGGAACAAGGGGCAGAGCTGCCATCTGTGACAGGATACTGCTGGGATCCTGAAAGAAATCTGGTGTAACGTGCCATCCTGCACACTCAGGAGCTCCTGAAACCAGGCCCTAAGCAGACATCTTCCCCACAGGAGTAAGGAGTCAAGGACGTGGGAGGAGACGTGGGAAAGAGGACCTGATGGTCATGACGTGGCGTCACCTCTTCATTCCCGGGGCACTGGAAGTGCACTTGCATTCTGGAATTGAGGGAGCTGGCGGTCACAGATTCAAACGAAAGGTCCAGAAAGACTGGTGGCTGGAGATGGAGTTCAGCGGCACAACTTTGCTAAGGATAAGCCCTATTTATCAACATCTAACCAAAGACAAATAGAGACTGCACTTGAGCTATTTTTGTTGTGTTGGCAGCCATTTTTTGCATGATTTATGAAGGGATTTTGGCTTGAGGTTTCTTACTAATAGAGCTGTCTGTATAGAAGAGCTTTGTCTTCAAGGAAGTCATTAATCAAAATATTACTGGAATCCTTTACTATTAAAAACGTCTCAGCTAGCCACATGTGCGTGCATCCAGTTCAAAAGCTTGCCTCTGAATGCAGACTGGTAGATGACCTGAACTGAGAAGCAACCTCAGACAATGCTGTTTTCCTTCTCTTGGGCTGTCCATGAGGGAAGAAACTTCAGTATCTCCTGAGTTTCCCTGCTTCTGGTAATTTGCAAGATTTTCTGCTTTCCCAGATGCATCTACTGTTTCTGAACATTGGAAAGATTCTGATATCCACTCAGTTACGCCTACCCCAGCTTCCCCAGCCCAGGCTGAAATACTTGATACACACGCTTGGACAAATATTGACGTTCTGGGAAGCAGAGGACGCAAGACAGAGAAAACGGAGAGCCTGTGCTGAACTCAGGACAGACGACAGGAAGATTACAGGCGTGAGGTCCTTTGTTGCCTCCCCTTTTCCCCAGATGCAAGGGTTTCACTGTGTGCCTGTTGCTAGGATGCCCTGTTACAAGGCTCATTTTCCCAGGAAGACTCTGACAAAAATGTTACTCCTGCTCCAGTGACTCTCAGTGAGGGACATGTGGTCTCCTCTGGACAATGCCATCCTCAGGACCTTGGCTAGTCATAGACCTGCCCCTAGAAGTTCCACTCCCTGAGCGACAATAAAAACCCTCCTGCGTTCATAGCCATCTTCAGCTGAGGTTCAGCAGGGATCATCTAAGACAGCGTTCTGCAAAGCATGGCCCAAGGGCTGAATACAACTGCTGTCTGATTCTGATCTCTGTGACTAGCTTAGTTGGAACACAGCCATGTTTATCTATTTTTCTACGTGATTTACATGTTCTTTATGCTGTTTTTTTTCCATAATGGTAGAGGTAAGTGGGATATAGTCATGACAGATGTAATATGGCTTACAAAACCATACATATTAACTATGAACCCTCTTCAGAATAAAGTATGACAGCCCTTGTGTAGGAAAATGAATCTTCACACAGTATACATTTAAGTTCATCCTTGCTCAGTCTTTCTCGGGATAGGGAAGGTTAAGGCTGATATCCCCAGAAAGTTAGTTCAATTTTCTTCTTCTCAAGGGCTACATTACCACATATATTATAAATACAATTATAGAAATAGAGAGCACAATAGGTTTTAAATAGCATCCTGTCATTAAAAACCATGCCCATCATTAACATTGCAGGACACACAAGATTCTCACAGAGCACCAACTATCGAACTCGTTATAGCTGGTCCCTGTGGCTCCCTTTTCCTGCTAGGTCTGCTTGTCATACAGTTTTATTGGTGACCCCTACCGTTTTGCACACTGTTAATTTAAAATGTGTGGCTCAGCCATGTCCAGTCCCTTTTCTGAGAGAGGTACTAACCTTGAGATGTGACTGCTGCTTGCTCTACTGTTGCCGGACCTGTGTCTTGGTTAAGGCCTTCCTGTTTCCTGTGGCCACTTTGCTGACTCCCTCTCTGTCTCTGCCAGCTCTCTCCTCTTCTGGTCCTTAATGTACACAGCGGAGAGCTTCCATGCTCCTCTCTTCACCAGAGCTTCATCAGGTAGCAGCTGACGCGAAGCACTAATTCTGTATGAATCCAAGAAGTCTTCCACCTTCTGGAAACATCTTTACCATTTCAGGGACTCACTCATCCCAAGCTCAGGTACAGTTCTGTTCCCCTTTACCACCTTAGATTTGACAATTCGAAAGGATGCACTTCTCTTCCTCTGTTCTCTCTCACTACATGCAAAACCTTGAAGTTGGTTTCTTGGCGTTTTCTTCCCCTTTTTTTCTGCCAATCAAAGCACCTCATACTCAGTAGTCTCTTAAATTCAGGAAGCTTTCTTATCTTTGCCCATATCTAACCATATTTCTGTTTTACCTTCTAGACTTATTCTCTCCTTCTCTCCCTCCCTCCCACTCTCACTGCCTGTCTCCCATTCTCTGACAGAAAAAGCACCCAAGCTGGTGTTTCTGGATTACTATCCTCACATGCTTAGCAGCTTGTGCATCTTAGAACCATCTTAATTTCTTAGCTGTATCAGAGGCCATCAAAGTTTGTTCTATTTATTCCTTTAATTGACTAGGTTTCAGAGGGTGGTTAAACTACCATGAACAGTCACAGCTGTGGCTTGAGATTGTGCAATTCTTAGAAATACTAGGAAGTCACCCCATGTGACAGATGAGAAGGCACATACAAGCTCCGACCTGCCCTGCACATTTAATCATCACCAGGTACAGGACTGCAGTCAACACACACATGTCTGAAAGCATGGAATAAAATACAACAATGCCATTTATTTTTTAAAAAATATTTATCTATTTATTTGAAAGTCAGAGTTACACAGAGAGAGGAGAGGCAGAGAGAGAGAGAAAGGTCTTCCATCCGATAGTTCACTCCCCAACTGGTCGCAATGGCTGGAGCCAGGAGCTTCCTCCGGGTCTATCACATGGGTGCAGGGTCCCAAGGACTTGGGCCATCTTCTACTGCCTTCCCAGGCCATAGCAGAGAGCTAGATTGGAAGTGGAGCAGCCAGGACTCAACCCGGTGCCCATTTGGGATGTCAGCTCTGCAGACAGCGGCTTTACCCGCTAAGCCACAACACTGGCCCCAACAATGCCATTTAATATACAAAGGCTTACAAGCACTTACTATGGACCAGCGTAGTTTTATCAAAACACCTTTCTGACTCATATTACTGCTTTTACTGCCTCACTGTCTTCCACAGAATATCCAAACTTCCTGTTGATTTACAAAGCCATCATGATTAATCTTTGCCATTTTTTGCAGTCTTGTAACTTAAAATGTTTTTGTTCACTCACAGCCTACACTCTAGACCTGCCAAATATTTTCTGTTTTAAGGACCATGTTCTGATAGGGTGGGGCCTTTGCACATTGGATTCCCCTTGACTTGACTTGTCTTACTCCTCTCACAGACACTAGTTTGTAGCTCAAAATCCTTTATAGGATAGTCACCTTGGTCTTCCCAAAAGTGGGTCATATATTCTCCTGTGAGTTCCCTGAGAATCTCAAAGAAATCCTAACTGAAATATTTATCACCTGCTATTGTGATTGGCCATTTATCCACTGTTTTTCTTATTATAGCCCAATAACCCTTCAAGGCACAGGTAAAATGTCCACTTCTCTACACTTGGAACCTTACATAGTGTTTGCTTGTGGTAGGTTCTCATTCCATATTTGTTAAATGAGGCTAAAACAATGACTTCCCTCTGTTAGGTTTTATGGCATGTATCATTTATAGTGGTCACAATCCAAAATTCCATCTTGTTTCCAATGTGTGGTTTTTATTTTGCCATCCTATTTACCCAGTGAATAAGACAAAAGAGGCATCTAGATCCAAAATACACACTGATTTGGCAGGACAAACCCAAAGACATACTTTCCTTTCTTGGGCAAATTTTCCTTAAATGACCCAACCAGCTCTGAAAAAACTTCAAACGGCCGAAATTGTCACTGTCTACCCACATGATTTACAATACATTGAATGTCAGCATCTATTGTAATAATATATGCTACTTACACGCATCGAATCTAGCTGTTTTGCTTACTTCCTGATTCCAAATTCCACATTTACATAGGCCAGGCACATTTCCCAGATTACTCTTTTATAAAAACTTCCTAACTCAGTATACATAAACCAACACACATACCCCACTGCCACCATCCTCACCCTCATTATCCACCATGTTCTGTAAGAGAGTCATGGTTATTACTATTTAGGAAGGCAGACTGGAGACAGTTTCTGTTGTTCTATCTATAGGGGTCCATCCTAAGCTGGTTTCTTTGCCTTTTTCTTGTGGGCTGTTGAACCCTTTAATATAAAAAACCCCAACAGTTACATTCTATAGAGTCCGAAGGAGCACAGGCTCCCCCTGTGGTGGTCCCAGGGATAAAACATTACTCTCCCTAATGTGAAGCTACAGGATCTTACTCGGCAAATATGTGGAATGTTGACACATTCCCGAATTACAAAAAATAAAATAAAATAAAGCCATTCTGAGACCAAGGCGTCTGCTCCATGCCTGCAGAGCCCAGTCCTCCTAAATGTCTCAATTAGGAGAGCAACTGGAGGTGATGGTGCAAGAACGGGTATGGCAGGGTGAAGACCATCTGCCCTCACAAAAGTAAACAAGATTCCTCCCTAAGTATCCTCTCATCTTTCATGACCCTTATGAACAAGACTTCTTCAGCAGCTTAAAAGCAAAAATACCTCTTTAACACTGCCACTTGTTGACAGAAATAAGAAGCACTGCAAATACCATCACATCACAGCACTGGTTAGAGCATGACATTAGCTACCTCCAAGGTTACCACGGCACTAGCTCACTGCTCAGAAAAGGGTAAGGAAGGGTAAGGAACAGAGCATTTGTCCTGCTTTTCTCATACAAATTGCATTTCAGGGTGACTGGAGTTCTCGTTATAGGAAAATTCAGCTACTAGGAAAAAATAATCAGAGATAATTTTTAAATTACTATCTTGCAATCCCTATTAAAATAACAGATCAAGACGATTATTAATATGCATTAAAACCACTGGGTGAAAGGTTAATGTGGAACTTTACCATGAAAGGTAATGCTGATTGACATCGTCTGAGCCCTAAGCTCTCTAAAAACGGTCCAGCCAGGCTGCTAATGTGACAAAGGAAGAACACAGCGCCACCCGGCAGGTATTCTCACCAAAGTGGCTGAGCCCAAACCCAGCCAAGCCTCCAGAAGCAGCAGTGTGTAGAATAGGAAGGCGATGCAAGACTAAGCCAAAAGGCACCACAAGGAAGCAATGAACTCAACACAGAAAGCAAGAGCCACTACAGAGAACAAATGTTAAAAAAGGGAATGGGGAGATGGGGATGGGTGTTTGGCCTGGCAGTTAGAACATTGCTTAGGATGCCCACATTCCACAGCAGAGTAACTGGCTCAATCCTTGGCTCTGGTTCCAGCTTCCTACTAACGCAAACTATGAAATACAGAGGTGATGGTTCAGGTACTGGGTTACTGTAACCCACACTGGAGACCAGGATTAAGTTCCCAACTCTGGGCTTTGACCTGGCCCAAATCTATCTATTGGAGACAGGGTTGAGAGCCAACAGATAAGAGCTTGTGTTTCTCTCTCTCTCTCTTTCTCTCTCCTTTCTCCTTTCTCCTTTCCCTTCTCAAATACAAAAATTTTAAAAAAATAGGAACTGTAAACCTTAAAATTATTTAAAATATATTATTTATATATAATCAACCTAAAGAATACACAGAATCAAATAAAAATAAAAGAAATAAAACATCTAGCAAAACAATTTTCTAAAACTTAATAGCTTTATGTCATATCCAAAAGTAGAGCAAAAAACTCATAGCTATGTATTTGGAAGGCACTATACCACCAATGCTTAGCTATGTATTTGGAGGCAAAAGTATGCATGGGGGCCAGTGCTGTGGCTCAGCAGGTTAAAGCCCTGGCCTGAAGCGCCAGTATCCCATATAGATGGCCAGTTTGAGACCAGGCTGCTCCATTTCCAATCCAGCTCTCTGCTATGGCCTGGGAAAGCAGTAGAAGATGGTCCAAGTCCTTGGGCCCCTGTACCCATGTGGGAGACCCAGAAGTTCCTGGCTCCTGGCTTTGGATCAGCGCAGCTCCAGCTGTTGCAGCCAATTGGGAAGTGAACCATCGGATGGGAGACCTTTCTCTCTCTCTCTCTCTCTGTCTCTGTCTCTGTCTCTCCTCTCTCTGTGTAACTCTGACTTTCAAATAAATAAATCTTTTAAAAAAAATGCATGTGAGTGGGAATATTTGCATTTACCCAAAGTATTTGTAACAATTAAGCCAAGAAGCATGTGAAAACTGTCAAAGGAAATAAATTTTGAATAAATGGAGGAGTGCGTTATGTTTCTGTATGGCAAAGCCCAATTCTGAGAACAGATCAGTTTACTTGGAACTTGTAATCTCTTAAGGCTCTTTGCGAGACACTTTTGACCATACACTACACAAAGGCCTCTGGAAGAAGTTGGTCAAGCAGTACTTACCCTCATTTTGTACTTAGTATGTTTGCATCTATTAATGTTCACATAATAAGCATGTTCTTAATTAGTACATGCTCTATTTAAATGCCTAAGAATAGCGAAGCACATTTAAAAAAAAAAAAGAAAAAATGTGCTGAGCATCCTGTGCCATCAGATATTAAAGTGCATTGCAAAGCTGCAATGGCATTTTATTCTGTTACAACCAAGATTCAGAAGAAGGTTTAAAGAACTGTGGACTTCCAACGTATTGTGAGAACCTCCCAGGTCAGTAGGGAAGGAACTGTTTGGCTGATGCTCATCCCCTGGGAAACCTGAAGCCAGCTACCACTCCACCATGGTGGTCTTGGGCAGTGCAGCCTCTACACACCCATTTCAGGGCCGGATACTCCCCCTCAGTACCCTCCCTTATAGTGTGGGTTTGGGCATGGGTCCCACTCCCTGCCTAATACATTTATGGAGGTACTTTAAAAAGTTCATAGGAAATGGGGTTAGAAGATAATGCACTTTTTCCATAATTTTTTAAAGTATCATCATATTCCTTGAAATTCAAATCAGAAACAATGAACTGAAGCTGGGCAATACGGGTGCATCCTGAAATGAGGGTTGCAGGGGCTACAGCTCCACTGAGTCTCCAAGAACCCCATACACACTATACGGCAGTGTGGGAACCTACTGACGCCATGTGAGCAATGGGACACAGCAGTGTTTGCACCAAGCCAGACTGGGCCCACTGCAGGCAGTGCTGCGGATACGGGTGCAGCCTGATCTGCATTCAGCAAGCATCTGCCCCAGCCCACATTCATTCTGTGACCTCGCCCCTATCCTTCTACAAAGCTTCTTTACAGAGGCATAGGTAAGATTTTTAAAAAGTGCACATACCTAATGTACACAACTTAATGAGTTTGCAGATAAATATACAGCACACCCACAGAACCATCACCCTAATCAGGGTCATAAATATCCATTACCTTCAAAATTGCACCAAAATAAATTCACCTTTTAATTCCATTTTCCTTCAACTTTCTGAAGTTCTTCATATATATTTTGTGTTGGTCTTACATAAATAAATATCCCAAAACCAGGCAAAATGTGACACTTTTCCAACATAAAAAAATCTAACAATGTGACATGGAAACATATACTAACAAAGCAAAAAGGCAAGAGCATCTTTATATGATATTTTCTAAATGTAGCAACTACATAGGGGCCGGCACTGCATCATAGTGGGTAAAGCCGCCACCTGCAGTGCCGACATCCCATATGGCTGCCGGTTCAAGTCCCAGCTGCTCCTCTTCTGATCCAGCTCTCTGCTACAGCCTGGGAGAGCAGAAGATGGCCCAAGCCCCTGGGCCCCTGCACCCACGTGGGAGATCCACAAGAAGCTCCTGGCTCTTGGCTTTGGATCAGCCCAGCTCCAGCTATTGCCAGCCATTTGGGAAGTGCACCAGCAAGTGGAAGCTTGCTCGCTCGCTCGCTCTCTCGCTCTCTCTCTCTCTGCCTCTCTGTAACTCTTTCAAGTAAAATACATAAATCTTTAAAAAAAAAAAAAGAAACAACATAAACTATCAATGACAAATCTCAAATACTCCAAGAGAAAAACAGACAATAGATGTTCGATATCAATTCACAAAAGGATTACTCACAGCAATATGTTAAAACATGTAATCTCTTCACTAGTAACCAATGGAAATTAAAATCTTGACATACTAGTTTTTGCTTATCAAATTGGCAAATACATAAACAAAAAGAATGATATTTACCATTGTTAATGAGCAAATGGAACAGACTGTCAAATGCTGTCAGAGACAGTGATGAATTGGTACACACATTCTATCTGCATATAGGAGATAAGTTGTATAAATTAAATTTCATATCCTCAGACTCAGCAAAGCCACCTCAGGATATTTGTCCCATGGAAGGGTAAATTTAACAAATTTAGCAAAGATAGAAACCTAAAATCTTTAAATGTATTCCAGCATATTTTTACTAGAAAACTTGAAGCAACTGCATGCCCATTTCTAGTGGACTAACGGAGTTATGGTAAATCCATTGATAGATTCAGTGATGTGCAGACCTATTCTTAAAGAAATTTCTACAATACCCTAAGTAAAGAACTTTACACAGCACGCATATCCTCATGCAAATAAGACAGTAAACCACTGTGAAAATTACCACCTGGAGGAGGAATCCACACCCTCCTCCTTACCTGGTCTTAGCACTGCCAAGGGCCCAGCAGGCTTCATATACTACTCTCAGGGCCCCCCTCTTCATCATCTATTTTTAAATTTCCCTCTCTTGATGGTCTTAAGGTTTCAAGGAAATAAGTGCCTGCACTTACCTCGTAAGGGCTCCAGATCTTAAGTACTGGGCACCAGAAAGGGTAAAGTTCTTTGGGAATTTTTTTCTAAATGAAACCAGGAAGCAACGGCCAGTACAGCAAGATGGACGGACAGGGGTTTGCAGACATCTACTATCTGTTTCCTGCAGACCAGTCCCCTGACGAAGCTCATTCCCTTGTCCTCTGCATTCCACATCTCTGTGCTGCCACCATTTGATGACATTGCATGCCGCATATGGCTACTTAATAAGCAACAGCTGCCATCCTAGTGTGGGCTTTGCAGAGACTTGAGTCCAATCCTACTCCTTGTCTCGGCAGCTGTGGGCCTCCAGTCCTCAGTCTGCCGATGGCAGCGGCCAGGAAGGTCAGCCCACACCTGTGTTACCCTTGGCCAAGAGTGCTCTCCCTTGGCAGAGTTCTTTTGACACCCTAAGTGTTGAAAAGATCATTTTTGCTTCTTGTATTATCAATATTGCTGCAACCCAGGTTATTAAAGAAGTTCTTACTTTCCACAATGCCAGAAAATCTGTATGTGTCTAAGATAGGTTGTTCATATAATTTTTACTGTACATTTTTTAACCTTGTTGCTTGTTCCAACCTTTTTGTTGTTCCCATTCTCCTGGAACCCTGAGAAAATGTTTGTCTCCAACTGTGCAAATATTTTATAATGGAAGTATTTAGTTAACATTAACACCACTGTCATTATTCCTGTGCCCACCACCTTAGCAAGGTGCCTGACTAAGGGAAGGCCTCTAACCTCAGCCACACAAATGCACCACATGCCCTGGAATTTGAATCAAGTGCAAATGTAGTTGAATGCATTTGGGTCATGTCTTTTGGGCTCCCAGGGCCATTGAAATATACGCCTGTTGAACTGATGTATTTGTTAACAGCAATCTATTTCACATTCCAAAGTGTCTTGATGTGCAGAGTAGACTCCATGGCCACTCTCAGACCCACCTTAGTGGGCAGTGGTTTTGAAGTCCAAAGTCCCAGGAAACCCTTTAGTTCTAGAAAAACCAGGATGCACTGGTCGTCACTGCTATGGTAGTGACTAAGAAGGCCTGACTGCAGCCCACCTACTGTACTTCCTACCAAGAAGCAATGGCCAGCACAGTGACATGGATGAGTAGAGAAAGCACCCCTCAGTCAGGATCACCCTTACCTGACGCTTCTATCAACGCTGGCTTCCAAGGATGCAGGACCAGAGTCTCCACCCTCCTCTTCTTGGTTACATTTGGCCTCCTTGAAAACTTGCCTACCTTGTCCCTAAAACTATGAGGTACTAGGAAGGGCAGGTGGGCCAGCCAGAAGAGCCCTTCTACAGCTTGCTCTCAGGGCAATGGGAGCCCACCCAATTTTATACATATCAACCCTGAGGGAGCAAGCAGCAGTCACTCTGAAAACCAAATGATATCCTAAGAAGCTTCTTTCTCATCGCTACATATAAAAGAAGTCAGCTCCTTGTACAGTAAAAGTAGGTGAACAAATACACAAATAATTCCAGTTCTTTCCAACCTGATACCCTACTTTATGTAAAATTGTGCATTTTGTCTTATTTCTAAGTGCTTTGTTCTGTCTCTGGATCCTCCGATTGGAATATGAATTCCTTGAGAACAAGGCTGCCTTGTTCACTGCAGTATGAAAAGATGACCCATTGTGCTGGTTTGCCTGGGACCAAGCAGCTGCCCAGGACACAGGTCTTTCAGCGCTAATGCCAGCACAGTCCCAGGCACATCTAGGTGTTGGCCAACTTAGCTGTATCTCCAGTGCTAAGAGCACTGCCCAACATACAGCAGCTGTTCTCAGAATTTGAAAAAAGAAAAGAAGAGGGGTAGGGGCAAAACGTTCAACATCTTCATAAATGCAAGTGTTGGCTCACAGGGAGAGTGTAGGGCTTGTTCCTAAGGTGTTCTCGCTTCATCCCAGGAGACAGGCCGCTGTAGTTGACCAGATGTCTTCTTCTAGGTTGTCTCCTGTATTCCAGGGCTGGAACACTGGATGTTGCATTTATCAGAATTCCTGCCA